ACAGAGAGAGAGGGAAACATAGAATCCGAAACAGGCTCCAGGCTCCCAGCTGTCAGCACAGAGCCTGACACCGGGCTCGAACCCACGAACTGTGAGATCATGACCTGAGCCAGAGTTGGACACTTAACCAACTGAGCCACCCAGGCTCCCCCTCCAGAAGAGAGACTCTTGTTTGACACCTGGGAGTGAGTTTGAGTGACAGACTTCTCCTTAGAATTGGAGGCTGTGTGACAGTATACATCATGAAAGTGACAGCAGCAGTGGGGACTAATTTAATTCCATTTTCCTTTGCAGCCCTGATAAATCATTGCCACGGGGAAAAATAAATTTTACTTCCTCAGACAAAAATGATTTGAATAATGATGTGCTCTGGGGAAAGTGGGGGCTGAGAGAAAGTCTGTTAGTGGGATTAAAATATTTGAATATTGTATCATGGAACTTTCTGCCAATGCCTCCTGCCCCCGGCCCGGCAAATGGCTTGTAGTGAGAGGTTTTCCTTCCTAGACTAATTGAAGAATCCTATAAAGTGGCATCAGCCCTCTTGCCTGAATGTTGTGGGGTTTTTTTAGGGCGTCGCTTTGGAAAAGGCAGCTTTTTCCAGTGCTTCGTATCCTGGATGAGTTGGTGGATGAAACACCTGAGCTAAAGATTCTAGGGGCTGAAGTCCTGACCACGTACAAATAGGAAAGGTCTTGGCGTGGATTGAAAATTGCTGGTGCTTTTCAGCCAGTCTCCTTCCAGGAAAGGGTTGTCGAATAGGGATGTGGTTCTTCTGGGAGGCTGTCTAAGTGACCTGGGGTCTGAGTTATAGAGGGAGGGGGCTGGGGCCCCCGAGTGCCATGCCTCAGGAGCCTAATGCGTATGGGGAGGGGTTCCGCCCCCAGCGTGGACAGTGGAGAATGGGCTCTGATGCTTGTAGGGAGACCTAGGTACTTGGTCTTGGTCCGAGCTAGAGAATGCCTAGCTTTCTTTGGGGGAGATTCTACAATGCTGTTCCAGTCCATTCTGTTCCAGTCCGTTAACAGCCCTGGGAAGCCACCTGCCCGTGAGTAGAAGCCGTGTCTTCCTACACCACCTGCTGACACGCATCGCTCTGGGCTCTGGGGCAGAAAGGAGGGAGCCCCGGGGGGAGTTGTGCTCGTGCCCATTTCCTGCAAAGCAAGCCCAGCGCGATTTTCCCACCCTGCACGTCAACCCTGGTTGCCCTGCTGCTTCCGCGACAGAAAGGATAAATCAAAGGCAAAAGCTATAAAAACCCCCGTCAGGAAGCAGCTCGTTCCTTTCAAGCAGTGTGAACGTAAGGTAAATGAGCAGTTACTGCAGACCTGATTTTATGGGAGCGAGACGTTGTGTGGGAGAGCGGCAAGAAAAATCGCGATGCGGGGCAGAAAATGCTCCTGCCCACGCCGCCCAGCCCACCGGAGAGCAGTGGCCCTCTGTCTGACACCCCCCCAACTTCGGGGAAGCTTTGGGTCCCCCATTTGATTTGGCCCTGATGAGCCGCCCGGAGCTTTGGGGTAGGTCCGGCTGGCCACTGAAAATACATATTTGTCTTTAAAAAAAAAAAAACAAAAGAGGGGGTCCTG